ATTTGATGTTTTAGGCTCAAAACTTCTAAGACATCACCGGCAGATTAATAATCATTCATTTCAGAATATTTAAGAAGTTTTTTTTTTTTTTTTTTAATTCTGGGTAATTTTTATATTTATCTTTCCATTTTTTAAAACTAGGAAATGAGTTTACTTAAGAAAATTACCTTTGTGACCACCCACACTCGATTCTATAACAATAGAATAAAACTGCTTTATATTATAAACAATTTTTTTTTTTTGCATAATTTATGACATTTAAGGTTTAACCCCGATGCGCTGAAATGGCTGATAATACTGAAGAAATTAACAGATAATAATATTGTTTTTTCGCTGTTATAATCATGTGCAGTATCACGACGCAGGATGGATTTATTTTTGAGGCCCTTTATAATACATAAATAAAATAAATATATTTTGTTATGTTTTTGCTCAGCGTTATAGATCATGTAGACCTTTGCCCGCTTGTTGTGATTTTACATTTGAAAGCAGTGATAGTCTGGAGTCATCCAATCTCACGTTGCTACGAACCATGGTCTCCATCAGGAGTGCCCATTTCCTCCCCCCCCCTCCCCAAGGTCGATGGCGCATGAACCTTCTTCCTCCCCTTCCCAAGATATTTTATTAGTTTACTCTTCATAATAACGGTGCAAACGAAAGTAAAATTTAAAAGATCGTGAATCATATACAATTATATTTTATCTGCAGTTTGATTTCTGTTTTTCTCTTGTAACTGATTTGAAACTTTCTATTCCAAAAATTCATGAAACCACTGAAATGTGCCTCCCTAAAAAAATTAATACCCCGTCAAAATGTGCCACCCTCAAAAATTTTGATGACGCAACTTGCGCCATGAAACATTCTGGGCACCTCTGGTCTCTATGTTGCAGCGACAGGCCACGCACAGCTTGGTTCTTTTGTGGCTTCACTGACAGTCCCCATCCTACCGACTCACTCGGATTCAAGGACATTGACAAATCTGTCTAGATCCATGGATCATGGTTGAGCGGAATCTGCAGCCGCACGAGAACTTATATTTCTTTTCCTTTTTTTTTCGCTCATGAACCGAACTTTATACATTTTTTTTTTTTTAAATTGAACTATTCAATAAAAACAGTGAAAAATATATATTGTGCCAACTGAAAATATTCTCGGAAACTCCGCCAACAACACAAGGTATCAACAAAACAGTTTATCTAGTTTTTGGAGTTCTAAAAAAAAAAAAAAAAAAGATTTAGACAGATTCAAATAGATGTCGCGAGTTTTCCCTTCCTACTGTGGGTTAGTATTGAGAAACCTACTAGGAAAGACACTGCATGTAAATCTGTAATAATATGAAGATGGAAGACCCAACTTGACAATTTGTTTTTCTTTACTGAAACAAATGAAGAAAAATTGACAAGTGGATTAAAATGAACTTGTTTCCCGCGATAATCGTTTGATAATGGGAGCGAGGTAGCTCATCAAGGCACTGACTTCCTATGCTCGAGTATGTATGATTATACATTGTATAAGGAGACACAGAAACATACTGAACATATGAAAATATTTTTAAAATACCATAAATTTTTAAAACAATTTTTTTTTAAAACTTGATATAGGTAAAAATGAACGTTTGAAACAAGCTAAAAGGGTAGTAATGTGGAATACAAAATTAAAATAAAAGGTATTATTCGAGATAAAATAATTATGAATTAGTTTATGTTTAAAATATTAAGAATGCTAATAAAAACGGTATATTGGTTATTGTTTTATATTTTGATTATTGTCATTATTTTTATAGTAATTGATTAGTAGCAATATTGTTTTGTTTTTTTAAGTTTATTTATTATCATTTGTTTCTTTCTGATAAAATCCAGTGTCCCAAGATGTAATATAAACATATGTGAGTAATGCTTTAAAGGAATGAAAAATCCTTCTTACTTTTAAAATTAAAAAAATAAAATTATATTCCATAGGGTCAATGGAGAAAGGAAGAGAATTTAATACTAAATTAAAACCATTACCAATTTAAATTAATTTTAAAAAATCATTAGTTGCATCGAATGCTAATGAAGATATGCGATTTTGTATTTCTGATAAAGATATAAAAATTTTAATCCACATATGATAATTAATAAATATAAAATAATGTAACAATAATAATTAAAAATATCTAGTTTTACTAAAAAAAAATATATTATAATCTCACTTTTAGTACTGGTATTATAGTAATATATAATATTTGAACAATATTATTAATTAAACTTATTATTATAATAATGAATGGTAGTAAGGGTGGATCAAGGTCAACTAGATAACCGACAAGTAGAATGCTGGGCAGGAGTTCAGTAGAGATAACTGTGTGTCACAGTAGCTATCTTCAGTACTTTGTTAAATAAGTGTCAACGTCAAGATTACAAAATATTCATCATAAATTATTTTTTAAAAAATGTAAAAAATAATTAATTTGTTCAACACTGATTTCTTGAACATCTATCTACCAATCAAGGTAACAAAAACAGGCCTTTTAATAAGTTTTTAAATTAATTTAAATTTAAGGAATTCTTTTTTATTTTTATTTTATCCAAATATTGGAGATTTAGGAACCGAATGGTTACTTATTTCCCCCTGGTATTTTAACGATTCTTAATAATAATGTATATATAAAAAATATATATATATTAATTTGAAATTTATGAGAGGAGAATCAGTTAATTCGTAAACAATCCTTATTCTTAATAATGCTTAATCCGCTGGCTCATTCTTAACCAATCCAAACTACATTTTTCGACAGAAGTGCTTAAAGCATGTGCAAATATTTTAAATTGGTCTGTTTATTATAAAATATTTTTATAATTTAAAATTTGTGTTAAAAATGCATGCTGAAAACAAAACTATGATTATAACAAGAGAATAATAAATTTTATATAAATAGAAAATAAAATAAGTAGATAAAAGTAAAATAAGTAGTGAACGATTAAGAAATATTTAAGAAAAGTGTGAAAATATATTACGCTTTAAATATCTCTAAATTTCAATTATTAGAATGATGAATTATGAAGTAGTAAAATTGCAAAATAAAAATAATAACATGGAAAAAATTTGGCAGTGATAACTAATACAACATACTATAATATCAAAAAGATTAATAATTATTTAATACCAATTCATTGTAAACCATAACTACAATAGGAAAAAATAAATTTCTTAAAATGTTATATTTTAAATTTATTTTTTTAATACCCAGTAGGTGGGGAAAAATACTAACTATTGTAAGAAAGTAATTAAAATGAGCTTTATTATTTATAAACAATCAGATTCATTAGAAATGAAATTAGGATATTAAATTGTGTTTTATATTTCATCCTATTGGTTGTAGAATAATCCTAGAGATTTCTGTTTATTTAATTTCTTAAATTCACCTTGAAAATTGGAGAAAAACATAAACTGTAAATATTTAAAAAGTTAAACAATCTTTAAATAAATTTCATAAAGAATTCATTAAAAATAAAATAAAATTCAATTTTAATAAAACATATTAACAATGAAAGTGAGTAATTAAGAACTAAATGAAAAATATTATAAACATTAAATAATGTATTAAGAATATAATATATATTTGTTAAAGAAAATAAAGTACTATTATTTACTCAATTTTTTATTACTTATTATTAGGCATAATATTTTTTCAAAGTTTTTTTTTTTGCCATTAAATGAGCATTTTTTATTTAAAGTGCAGCTTTTATTCCAACACTATCCTTAGGTGAATTTTTCAACCAATTTATTAAAAAGTAGCTGATTTTAATTTTAATGAAAATAAAAATGCATGTAATGTACAAATAGAACACATTTATTATAAACTGATAAAAAATATGACAATTGAAATATAGTTGCAGGGCTGAAATCAAAAAGTTTTACAAAATTTATAACAAACTATAATTTAAATAACTTATTATTGAATTTAACTTAATTACAGAATAACTAATCCTATAATGTAACAAGAGGTCATTATTGTGTTTATTTTCCAAAATATTGACTATATTTTATAAATCTAACTTATTTATAAATATTTTTCCATTATATTTTATTTTTCTTAATTTTTATCTAAAAATGTTTATTTATTTTTCCTATTCCATTACTGTAATTTTTATCTACCTGTATATAAAAGATAAAGTATCTTTAGTCCAATTTTTCATGATTTTATATTACTATCATATTTTCACAATTCAGGGTCTTATTTTCCGAGAGGTAAATATGCTAAAAGATAATAAAAAGTATTTATACAATAAATGAATGCAGGGAGAACTGAAAATTCTTAATGTTCTTTTGCAATACTTTTAATTTTCTGGTTATCACGATAGTTTACATCAGACACATATTTAGTATTTGTACAGAGGAATAAAGAATGTAAGAGAAAACAAAAATGTTAATTATTCACACTTGTGTTAATATTTAAATAAAGATAAAGAGAGAAGAAGTAATAATAGAGAGAAGAATTAATACTCTTTGAAACAAAATTTTTATTTTTTTTTTTTATTCAAATTCTTTCTATAAATATATATATATATATATATATATATATATATATATATATATATATATATATATATATATATATATATATATATTATATATATATTTTTTTTTTTTACATGTCTACAGGAGCAAATATCACTAGAATCTGACAGAAAAGAAAGGACCGAGTATAATATTTTTCTTCCTCCAGGGGAAAGAGAAAGAATTTTTGCTAATGTTAGTAAATACAGACAGAGGTCACTCCTTTTGTGATAACTTGTTTTGAAGAGCCCTCAGTGTCATTAGTAAGAAGTGACCCTTGAGTTGGTCACAGTCTTTCTTAGTATCACCATAAGGTAACATTATAAATAGTAATGATACTATTTTTTATTCTAAGATAAATTTATTTTTAATTTATAACATTTAATATAATCAACTTTAGAAATTTAATAATAGTAGTTACAATAAAATATGCAATAGTGATCTAAATTTATTTTCCAGTAATGGAGACAATGGGAATAAAGTTCGCTCCAATTAACACACCATTTAAAAGGCGTGTTGAAACATTCTGTGCATTTTTGTGGATTGTTACATTCGCATTTGGAAATTTTATATGTTATTGGCTTGCCGCTTATTTAATTTTCTTTTCAAGTTATTGGCCATATGTGCTCCTCTACTTAGCTTGGCAATATTATGATCGAGAAACTCCATACAAAGGTGGGAGAAGGTGAGTACCTATTTCAGAGTATTTTATTTATTTTTAATCATAATTAAAATTATTGGCTAATCTACATTTTATTAAATTAAATTTTGTGAATATGGAAATTGTATTTGCGCTTTATAAACTTCTATACAGAGAAATCCTTTACCTACAGTCGTAGTCATAGAAATTCACTCACATATTTCATTTGATACATAAGTTGATAACTTTATTCCATTGAATGTTTTACTTTTTATTTACTTATTAAAGTTACAAGAAAACTTTCAACAATGTTTCTCAGTTCAGTTTTAACTAAAGCCAAGAGAAATTATGACCTGTATCAAAAACTGTCCTCATCAAAAAACATTAAAATTGTGATGTTACATGAAGTAAAGGAATCTTCATGGAAAATAGTAACGAGAATAGGGTACCAATAATCAATGGTAGTCATAGTTCTGAAAAAAAATAAATAAAGGCACTATAGAAACTGGGAGGAAATAAAAACAAACGGACAATTGAACAGCTTAATAGTGCAATTGTTTTTAGAATATTGTTTCATAGCTGGAAAAGAAATATCTGTAGATCTTGCAGTAACAATCTGATTAGTAAAATAAAATTTGATAAAATTTTCACTGGGTGATGCAATTTCTATGACTGTGACTGTATGAAGGTAAAAAAGAAAAGTCGCACCGTTAAATTGTGAGAAGAAAAATGGAATTATTTATAATTTCTTTAAATCACCTACCAACATGAAAGGAAGGAGGTCAAGATAGGTATGGCAAATCTCAGATCTATCCATCAAGAGTGCTTACTCAAATAAAATGCGGTGGTAGATGAGAAGAGTTCAAAAAAAGGAACAAATGTCTACGCTAATAAGATATGGAATAAGTTGTTTGAGATTGTTTAATTAATGAGCCCAACAAATAAAATAGAAAGTGTTACAAATAGAAATAAAGTTATTAAAGGATAGATATTCAAAAATAACAAAAGGCAATAATTATTTCTAGTTTCGGTTCAAATAATATACCTGGACCAATTATATGTGTATCATTTAAATGTTTACTAATTTTATTAATTATGATTTCCTATTGTTTGAATTAAAAGGATTTCATAAATAAAAATAATATTTAAAATGTTGGGAATATCGTTTTGGGCATGGGAAGATCCAAAGAGCGAGAGGTCTCCCTTCAGGAAAAGAAATTTTAATTTTTTAAAGAATTTTATACAATATGTCTCATATCTTTACCCCAAAACACTAACAATCTTTGTTATCTAATAAATGAAGTAGTTATTTTATACTTGGAAATAATTAGATAGTCGTAATGATATAATATATATAAACCAATCCCTATCACATATATATACATAATTGAATATATATACAGTAGTTGATTAAAATTTCTTAGGGAGGGTAAGGGAAAAAAAAATATATATACTTGGAAATTCATTCTCACTAAATGAAAACGTAAAAGAATCCCACATTATTCAGAAAAACAGTTTAATAATCTTACCAATTGTAATTATCATTTCATGTTGTTGACCGCGGTGTTAATTTTAATCGAAATAGTATGATTCCTGTCATGGTTGGCCTTATTAATTATAATATAATAGAGCGCTATAAACAGATTTTGTATTGCACTTCCTCCTAAAGACATTTCTGAATTAATTTATAAGTATAAATATACTTGCGTAATTTCAAGTTGTTTGAGATTACCATCGAAAATCAAACTCCAGACCTATCAGAAAAAAATTGGTCTTTAAATGATGAATTTATACTTTTTAACACTTTTTTTAGAAATATGGAGCCTGAACTTGAGATTTAAAAGAAAACTGAAGATTTTGAAAACAGACAATATCAGCTCTTATAATAGGACTTTTTTTATTTAAGCAATTGTAAAATTCAAATTTTTAACTTGTTGAAGTTCCCAAATGGTGAGTACTAGAATTTTTTATTGATGTCTAGTAGTCCAGCATAATGGGGAAGCACTAAGAATGATAAGAGAGTTTGACTTGTATATCATGACAGACACACTGTGTGGAAAATATAGGAGACCAGCAAGATCACCTGCAGTTCTTATCTCGTAACAGACTAATCAAGAGTAGTAAATCCTATAAAAAAATATTTCTTTCACCTTTCAAATTGATAAGTAGCATGAATGAGTTTATAAAAAAATTATCTTTAAGTAACAAAATATGAAATCACTTACATTAATCATGATTAAATATAAAATAAAATTAATAATTTATTTAACTATTATAGTGTCTACAGAAAACAATATTGGGTTAATGATTTAACATTTGATCATTACATAGGATAAAAGACAATTAGATATTCCGAATTCAAGTCAGTAGAATATTATGCCAGTCATTGGAGCAGCACAACTTTTAGTTACTTACGCAAGGTCATGATTGAGTGCTCCTTCCACATTGTCTCTGATAGATTTTTAAAATTAGCTGGAGCAGCTACAAAAATGAGTCTTAAAGTAAGGGCTCCAAAGAACAAATACTTGGTCACAGAATAAATCAGTAGACTTGGTGAGGAAATCACTAATGGAAGATATACCTTTAAAAAGCCATACCAAGTTCTTCTATCGATTAAATGAAGAACTATATGTGCCAACTGATGTTGTAGTCCCGGTCCATATTTTATGAACCGTGCCTTGTCTAACAGTACTAGACATCAACATAAAACAATTATTCTGCCAGTTTTCCTTCACAGCTCACAAACATGAATTATTTCCGAAACTGGTGAGCAAACCTTCTTTGAAAAGAAGAGCATGTGTAAAATCTTTATAGTCGTGAGAGTTAGTGAGGTATGACAATATCAAACCAACCAAGACATAAAAAATCTATTCAAGATACCAGACCTGGTATACTATTGGAGGCTTAGTAGATTGAGAGGGGCTAGGTATGTTCTACAGATATCTAAGAATGATCTACAATAGTTAATAACGGCAGAGGTACATCGCGGATAAAGGTGGCAGAGGAAGAACTACTTTAGTGGAGTCGCATTGTGGCTGACTCTTCCATGCTGGATGTGGAGCAGCACAAGATAGGAACAATTGAAAAAGGCTACTAAAGGAGATCAGGAATTGATATCAAGTTGTAGTTCCAATACAATAATAATAATATTTTCATTAAGTATTTCAATTAATAGTTACTGTTTAATGTGTTGTGTGACATTTTTATAAATATAATACTTTTTTTCTTCTTCATAATTTTAATATAATTTTAAAAAATAGAAAAACCTGTAATACTCAGTATTGAGAGTAATGAATTAAAATTGAAGCTCCTCCAAACAAAGTACATAACAAAATTATAAACTTTTATATTTTATAAAGAATTTGAACAAAACATAATAATAGTAAAACTGTGATGTAATTTAATAGTTATATATTTTATATTAAAATAACACTCCCAGTCACTTTGAATTGATAGAAATAAATAACTTAGTAATAATAATACTAATAATCTTCATATGAAATTTTAAATAGTTAAAAACAGGATGAAACTAAAACTGTTTGTTTTTCTTATCATTCAAGGATCATTGAATGTGAACAACCGTCTATTAATAGAACATGTATGATCAAAATATTTCAATTTGATCTTGATAACAAATTTTTAAAAGTATCTTGATGGTTATTATCTCAAGATGTCAGATATTACATTAATTTATCATATATGTATTACAAAGATCAATTATTTATGTAATATAATGATAAATTATAAACACATACATTTCATAATAATTGTTAAATATCAAATAAAAATCTTACATTTCAACACTACAGTCTGCAAAATGTTTTATTTTGTATGTTATTTTATAAGATACAAAATTACATAATTATCAGTAAAGAATGTAATGTTTTAAAAAAATTAATTAACACCTTCACAATAAGAAAAAAGTCTCAAAAATCATGATAAAATTGACAATTTTAGGAAAGAAAAACAGTGATACAAAGAAATAGCAAGCAAAAAAAGAAAGAAGAAATTTAAATTAATTACTCTACATAATCAATGCAAGTTTTGAAATATATTTCCAAAGTTTAAGGAGTGAAATGAGTAATTTTTTTTTCCAAAAAATAATAAGACAAACATTTGTCATATTAATCATAATAAAACTATTATAGTAGTTATTAAAAATTAATAGAATAAAAAATAACATGAAATATGTGGTGTATACTAGGGCAAAAAATAGTTAATTAATCTTGTTACTTTAAATTAGGAAAGACTGTAAAAAGAATAAAAATATAAACTTAAAAAAATAATTTATAAAAATTTAGTGAAGTAAATAATGATACTCTCTTTCTATATACCCACCAGTAACAGCAGCTTATATTTTAATATACAGGATGTTTCAGGGTTAAGTGGCCAAACTGAAAATATGGATTAAGGACCTCAAAACAAGAAAAAAAATTCCAATGAAGGTATGTCCACAAACACTTTGTTTAGGAGATATTCACACCTACATATTTTCATTGTTATTAATTATTTACATTACATTAACTAAATAAAACTTATTTATTGCTTCAACTACTTTATTAATTAAATTTAAGTATTACATGTTGTTCAAAGTGATGACAGGCTCAGTATCTTTCTTTAACAGCAGCAGTGGCAGGCAGAACGGCACAGGATATGTGTTATTGTTTCACAAGATTAAATTATCCTTCTTGGTAAGGAATTAAGGTCATTGACTGGACTTACTTAGACTTTTTGTTTAATAACTACGAAAATCTTTAGGTGTGAACAATATCTCCTAAACAAAGCATTTGCGGACATACCTTCATAGGAAATTTTGTTTCTAGTTTTGAGATTCTTAGTTCATTTTTGCAGCTTGGCCACTTAACTAAGTTTGGTACTATTGATTTGAGGTCGTATTGAGTATGATGAAGAAAGTATGCATGCACTCTGGTGTTGTTGGCATCAAACCTTCAAATCCTATTTTACTTATTATTTCTACATAATATTATAGATACTACAATAAAATTCTTGATAGTTTTTAAGTGCGTTATAATAATCAATAATTGTGTTACAATAATCATTAAGTGTTGAACAATAATCAACTTTGAAATAATTACAATTACTATAAGGAAATATATTTTGTTTTCAGATTTACATTTTTGCAAAAACTGCCTTTTTGGAAGTACTTTAATGATTATTTTCCGATAAGTCTTGAAAAAACTGCAGAATTGCCTACCGATAAAAACTACCTATTCTGCTGCCACCCTCATGGCATTCTTTGTGCTGGTATGTTCGGGAACTTCGGGAGTGGTTATTCCAAAGTCAAATCTCTCTACCCGGGATTGAATGTGTTGTCTGCCACCATAGACCTCCACTTCAGGAGTCCATTTTTCAGAGAATACGTCCTTGGTTTAGGTGAGTTCAAAACAAAGAATTCATTGAAGTATTGTTGTCCCAAGATGAATATTATAATATTTTCAATTGCTGGTCAAATACTTTATTATAAAAATTAACCAAATTTTTGTATACTTCCTTTAATTTTTAGATAGTTTTTTTTTTATAGTAAATCAAAATTAAACCAGCCCAGAGGAATATTCATTGCCTATTGGCTTTTAAAATTTAGATTTTAAGGAAGGATATGAAATGAAATTAAGCCCATTTTTGGACTTCTATTTTAATAGCTCCTTTCCGCTGGGTATTCTTCAACATCTTTTTTTATTTTTCTCCTTCATGGCTACACAGGAGTTTTCCTGGGGCAGGGCAGTGTGGGAGAATTATGCCAGAGTTAAAAGTCCCTCTGCCATCTTGTAATTATTTGTATCCTATAACTTCTGTTATCAGGTTGCCGGGCAGCCCAGTGCTACGCACACATGTTAGTAATCTCAATCACCCCTTCCCCTATACATATACAGATACAGCATTTCGCAAACCAGCTATTGGTATTTTATATATATTTATACATATTATTTATAACTATTTGGTATTTTATACCATTTAAATTATTTCTCTTGTAATGTTTGTCACATGTATATCCCACCACAACAGATAAATGAAAATAATGCTAGCTGAAGGTTTATAAACTTATTGCTAGTATTTTAAATTACAAAGCAAATCATAATTTTTCAAGTTTCGTTTTCAATTTTAGGTGAAGATATTTTTGTTTGATTTCTTTAAGGCACCCATTGCTCTCTATGATATATGTTTTATTCTTAATTTTAAAGGTTCTACCAAATTTTCGGGAGCTGGAGAATTATAGAACCAATTATTGGAGTGAGATAAGAATTAGTGAACAACCGTTCTTTTTTATTGGTGTTTGATAATTGGGCTCAAACATTAATCCTAAACTTTTCTAGTTCAAAAGTTAAATATGCTTGTTCATGAGAAACATATTCATGAGAAGCATTTCCTAAATGCTTAAGCAGTTCAAATTTTTTAAACTAAAATTTAAAATTTTGTTGCCAAATTCTTATAATAATTAGTGATAATTGATTATACCTCTATAGAAATAAAAAAATAATATCCCTTCTTGCCTAGGATAAAATAGAATAACAGTAATTAATCATCGACAAAGGAATATTAGATGGTAACGTTGAGGTTGTGGTGCCAAACAATGTCAAGTCGTTGTATGCTTGAGCATTCTCTATTCAAAAGCAATGGCCAATTCGAATTCTCAAGAGGCATGTTAAAATTGATTTTTTGGAAAATTCACAGAATAAAATAAAAATATATTCTCACAGGTTACCAACTCTTAATAGGTTGAATTTGATTTTAGTGATCAATTAAACTTGCATAATCTCATTCGCTAATGTTGTTTTCTTAAGTAAACTTTATTTTTAAAAAGTATTAGTAGCTAAATCAAATCTAATCTATTCCAGGAGCTGTTTCAGCTGCGAAAGAAAGTATTGTGTACTTGATGGACGATAAAAAGAAAGGAAATGTTTTAGCATTGGCAGTAGGTGGAGCTGCAGAATCATTTTACGCTAAACCTGGTTCATACAAATTAATATTGAAGAAGAGGAAAGGTTTTGTCAAAATTGCATTACAAACTGGGTAAGAAAATAACTTAATACTTAATCAGAATAAGTTTTAGATAAGGACTTGAGGCATGTCATTATTTGTAAGATGAAAATTATATCCACTATGAAAGCAAAATTGAGCCGTTTGGAATTCCTAGTACTATCCATTGGGTTATATGAGCCTTTCATTTGACAGAATGACTAGCTCCAATTTCAACATTTTTGAGGAAAGTCATTTTAGTCATATTTCTCGTAGGAAAATTTATATCTATACGGACCGTGAATAAGTTGATTCCACGTGATTGCAGTGTGAAAATACAGAACTACAAATTATACATTTGTACAATGTATACAAAAGTATACATTTTCCAAGAAGAAATATCAATAAAATTAATAATAAAAAATGTTGAAATTGAATTTAGTCATTCTGTCAACTCAAAGGCACATATACAACTAATATTTGATTATCACTTTATTCAATTAGATTCATAGAATTAATAGTTAGAGTTAATTTTAATTTTATTGACAATAAAATATGAGAAGAAATAAATAATATTAAAGAAACACAAAATTACTCAATCTTGTTTACTGTTTCTCAATTTTTACAACTAGCTTATTTTATTTATTTGTAAAAGCTAATTATATTTAAAGCTCTAGTGCCCTCCTTCAGCCTCCACTGGCTTTTAATACTAGTGATGCGGCTGGAAAAGTGGCACTGGGATCTCTGGAGTCCTGCTTTGCTTTCCACATGTGGGGAGAAAAGGCTGGCTCGGAGATTCCTGGGCGAATGTATATAGGTATGAATGTGTTTAGAAGTTTTTATTTTATTTTGTTTATTTATTTTTTTTATTTTATTTCATTTTTTTTCTATTGATTTACATTTTTTTTTATAGGTATTATTTATTTACTTTTATATTTATAGTTACTTCTGTATTACTTGTATATACTGTATGAATGAGAACTTTTAGCCTTAATACTTATAGCCCTCCAACAGTGGCTGATTGTATTATTATTCAATAAAAAAATAAATAAAATTATATTTAAAATTAAATATTCTAACTCAAGAGATTATATGGTCAAAGAAAAAGTGGAAAGATGTTATAAAACTGGAAACTCTATTATAAGCTAAAAAGTATAAAATATCCAACGGTATGAACTAGGTACTTGGCAACCTTAGCCGTGCCTCCATCCTGTTGAAGTAGCTCAGTCCCCACCACTTTTCTTTAATGCTAAGTATCTCAGTAAATATCCATGAGAGCAATCCAGGACTTTTTCTGTTTAAACTATTTTTCAATGACGAATTAAAATGAGAATTCATTCAAGTACTCAAATATTGTTACTGTTATGCATTCGTGTTAAGGATTTATTTACTCATTTATGAACTTTTCATTTTTTTATTTATAATTTTATTTTTAATCATTTCCCTGACCAGTTATACTGACTGCTTATATTTTCCAATTCTGGTTATAATCCTCTATTTTTCCAATAACCACCATTATTGTTTTTATATTATGATGAGTTTCATTTCGACAGGTGTTCACTTGTGCCTGTATTTTCGTTTGGCGAAACCGAATTGTACGATCAAGTCCCAAACCCACCTGGCTCTCTGCTGAATAGAATCCAGACCTGGATGAAGGATCTTATCGGATTTGCACCTATAGTTCTTAAAGGAAGAGGACTTATTCAATATTCATTCGGTATTGTACCAATGAGGACACCTATAACAACTGTTGGTAAGGATTGGATACTTTTTTTTTTTTTTTGCTGTTTATTTTTTTCTTTAAATAATTATACTAAAACTTTTATTTTATTTATTTTTTTTCAGTTGGGAAGCCAATAGATATACCGAAAACTGCTGAACCATCAGACGAGATTATTCAAAAATACCATGCGGTATACATTGATGAACTTGTGAAGCTTTTTAATGAGCACAAAACAAAATATCTAAAAGATTCTGAGAATATAAGCCTGGTCATCGAATAGAAAATCGAGTAATCTATGTATCGTTGATGAAAAACGTTTTTTACAATCTTTAAAAGTTGAATAAACCATTGAAGTTACAATAAGTTTTAATATTGAGTAGCATCTAAGGTATTCAAGGCTGTTGGTAAATTACATTTACTATAACTTATAAATTTAAGAGTGATGCCTATATTTAAGTAAAAATAAAAACATAATAAACTATAATCCCCCTGGAGAATTCAAATGAAGTAAAAAATATCAAATTTTTGTGGTCTTCATGGATCTCGCTTGTATAATATATCTCTCAAATAGTTATTTAATATTTTTATTTATTATTATACCTTTTAAACATTTAGGTGTGCAAGAAGTCATTGTTTTTTATTTTAAGTATTTTTATCTTGAAGTTAATTAGTTTAATTTAAAATTATCCTTATTGATTTATACTATTGAACACTAACCAAATTTTAGTGCAAAAGATTAAATTTTATGACCAGTAATTTAAAAAAAAATTAAAACATATTTGAAAATATCCCAATACATAACTTTGTCAATTAGCAAATAAAAAATAAAATTATTTATTTATTAGTGTTTACTATGAATTTTAAAGAATATTTATTGAATCAATAATAAAAAAATAAATTGTTCAAAAATAATATTTTTCTGAGGTTCTGAAAATTTCGCTCTGCCTACTTTCTATCATTTACATTTTGAATAATCAATTGCATGACTTAAAAATTTTAAATAAATTATCATTAATACATAGTAATAAAAGAAGTATATATAATCTGAAGGATAAACTTTATTTTATATTTCATTAAATAAATTATATTTTTTTTAAAATATTGTTATAAATATCAATATCATTTGCATGTGTTGATTTGTTATCTTTTAATCGAAAATTGTGTTATTATTATGGTTTTAATATTTTTTAATATAAATATTGGTTTTAATATAAATATCAAATTTTTGTGGTCTTCATGGATCTCGCTTGTATAATATATCTCTCAAATAGTTATTTAATATTTTTATTTATTATTATACCTTTTAAACATTTAGGTGTGCAAGAAGTCATTGTTTTTTATTTTAAGTATTTTTATCTTTGAAGTTAATTAGTTTAATTTAAAATTATCCTTATTGATTTATACTATTGAACACTAACCAAATTTTAGTGCAAAAGATTAAATTTTATGACCAGTAATTTAAAAAAAAATTAAAACATATTTGAAAATATCCCAATACATAACTTTGTCAATTAGCAAATAAAAAATAAAATTATTTATTTATTAGTGTTTACTATGAATTTTAAAGAATATTTATTGAATCAATAATAAAAAAATAAATTGTTCAAAAATAATATTTTTCTGAGGTTCTGAAAATTTCGCTCTGCCTACTTTCTATCATTTACATTTTGAATAATCAATTGCATGACTTAAAAATTTTAAATAAATTATCATTAATACATAGTAATAAAAGAAGTATATATAATCTGAAGGATAAACTTTATTTTATATTTCATTAAATAAATTATATTTTTTTTAAAATATTGTTATAAATATCAATATCATTTGCATGTGTTGATTTGTTATCTTTTAATCGAAAATTGTGTTATTATTATGGTTTTAATATTTTTTAAATGGTATTTTTTTTACCATATAAACTGGTACCATATTGAAGGATCTATGTGGGTATCAGTTTTACTAAAAACAAAATTTGATTTTTATAAAGTTTAATTATAATTCATGAAATATTATAAGAAAAAAATATCTTTCTCACTGCAATTGATATCATCAATATTTTACCGTAATACAAAAACTATTGTTTTTATTATATTTCCAAATATATTCCCAGGTCTACTTGGGTTTAAAGTGCTTAATATACTTATGGCATGGTGAAATTTTTAATTTATACCAATTATAATATTTTTTTTATATTTGTTTAAGTCATTCAGAAAAACTTTGAATTACAGAAATTTTAGTTTTATTTCCTTCTCTACAAAACAATAAAACATTACTTGCAAAAATATTAAAAAAAAAAAAAAAAATATTTTCCTTCCAAATTAAAAGCATTAAATTAAAAGTTTCATACAATTGAAAACAATTAATTAGGATCCATAACTTTTTATTTTTTTAAGATATCAATTATTACAATGTTGATCATGAATGTTTCACAGCTGATATATTGTCATTACTACTTATAACATAACAATAAAAAATGTGATGTATTAACACACAAATAAAAATACATTTATATAAATTGTTATAGATATAGAGGTTGCAAGCAATATAAGACTGACATAAAGATATTTATTTAAAATATTTATGTATTAAATTTGTACTTAAGATATTTCCTATAATAAGGGCTTACATATATTTACTATAACTGTATAAGCTCCCAGACAATAACAAACTACCAATAACGGCTTTCACAGAAGTTATACCAAATAGCCTTAGTGAAGGGTAAATTATGAATAAGTCAAGATCCTTATGAGAGTCACTAGATAAGTTACTGTTGCATCAAAATTTTTAAAAAATAAAATAAAAAAATAGTTTTTAGAGGTATTCGTTGGTTCACTAGTATAAAAAAGAATTTGATGCAAACTACAAAAATTGTATTCTCAATTTTAACTAAAATTAATGCAAATTTTGGAAAATAGTGAGAGGAAAAACAAACAATCTGACTATTTAATGTAAAAATAAAACTTGTATATGATGCCATTATTTTGTCTAGGAGCTTGTGAATGCGTGAATGTAGGAGATTGTTATTTAGTTATTTATAATACCAATTTTGTAAATGGTTAAACATATTTATAATTAAAACGTTAATAATAAAAGAGAAAATTTAATTTTATTGAAGTAAAAAATATTTATTTATAATTAATAAAAGATTCATTTATTTTGTTTGTTTTTTCATTCATTGTTTCCATCATTTTAAAAAAGAACAAACCCATTATTTCACTCCTTTTCATATTCATAAAATATTAAATATGATATTTTAGAAAGTAATTTTTTCGCCACCAGATCTACAAGGAGGGATATACAAATTTTAATGTTCATGGTTAGTATTTATGTCATGAGACTAAAAGGTGAAAATCTAAAAATAGTCAGTTTTTGTTTTCTTCCTTTTTACAGAGGAAAAAAAATGGGACAAGATAAAAAATTTTAGAAAGGACTTGTTGGGTAACTTTGAAGAGCAATTAGCAGAGGGGGGAAAATCAGCATGAACTTGTTACAAGATGATCCAGAAAGGGAACACTCTACTTTCTGATCTAAAAGACAGAATGATTGTGGATGAAAACGTAGAGGAAGGAGTTCTTGGACATAGGAAGTTTTATGGTTCTGAGTTGGAAAAGGAAAACACCAAGGAGGAATAGCTGTCTGGAGGTAGAGTAGATCCACTTCAACCAGCAGGAAACATGAAAGTATCTGGGAATCACAAATATGAGTTTAATGGAACAATTCATAAGTGTACACCTTTTTCCTTAAAACAAAGTTTAAAACAAGGTGACAGCTTGTGTCCTCTCCTCTTTATAGCATTTATCGACACAATTCTTAAGATTTCTAAAACTCATAGTATTGATTAAAACCACATCCCTATATGGGGGATGACATAGTGCTGTCTTTAGCAGACTCAAAAATATATCTAGGATTGAGACAAGAATTAATCCTAAGGGGATAAAGGAAAATGTAGCAGAGAGCAAAGTATGTAATACAGAACCTATCTTGGATTAGAAAGAGTTTTTTGCTCAAGAAAGAAAAAAAAAAAAACACAGCTTACTAATAAGGTAACACTACCCCAGAGCGCTTTTAATCTGGTTACGCCACTGATGCATGAATTAGAAGAAACCAACAAAGTTAGAAATTAACTATAATGGAATGGTCATGAAATCATAGGTATATTTCCACCAATATCTGGATACTCAGTACAGACATATACGTCGATCCAAGAATTTTCAAGAGGAAAAAAAAGTTTATCAAGTCCTCTATCTAATCAGCAGCATTATAATAGGCAACAAGTTTGCATTGAATAGCCTCGATTTCTCAAAATAAACGCCCTACACATGATTTATCTCATAATTGGCAAGACCTGAAGAGACTATACATAACAAAGTCATTAGTGACGAACTGGGTATAGTCACAGTGAAAGAAAAAATAAAAGGGAGTAAACTTAGGTGGTTAAAACTTGTATTGAGAATGAAAGACCAAATGGTGCAAGGAGAAAAAACCAAAAGAACGAAAACCTGGAGGACAACCCTGCCTTATAAATATAGAACATCAAGAGAGGTTGGTAAAAGTGAGAGAAACAGGTGGTACCGACAAAATGGTCCAAGATAGAGAAGTGGCAAATTGGGCTGACGCTCGCGTTTGACGCTGGAAGGCCAAAGAGAAAGTATACGATACCTTTAATGGACAAAACAACCTACAACCAACTTACAAGTATAGTTGTTAAGATGTTATTTTAATTTAAAATACAATATTGATAAATTTCATTTTCATCTAAATTTTAGATATAGCGAACCACTCCACTTGCAACTGGGAACTCATTTGACAGAAAATACCTAACACTTGATAAAATTAAATTTAAAAAACAATACTGAAGTTTGTGCTTTAGACCACAAGATAGAAGTGAAGACATCAACAAGGCGAGATTAATAATATGAAATATAAATTTTAAATAATAGCTCGTCATAAAGATGATGAAATGCTGAACAATTCCCTCGCTTACATTATGCAGGTCCGATTTTTAGTTTCTGAGATAATTTAATACATACCTTTCATAAATCTCGTTATCATTTGGTTTTCGACACTACTTTTTTCCCTTTTCGCCACTCTAACTCGACGTCGGGTTAAGATACAATTATTAATAATAGTCCATTACAGAGAGTATGAAAGGCTGAACAATTCCCTCGCTTACAGTACAAAGGTCCGATTTTTAGTTTCTGAGATATTTTAATTCATATGCAAAAACACTTCAATTAGTCGACTCCAGCCAACTTTACGCGAGTGTTACACATATGATAAATT